CCTGGACGGAAACACAGTGGGCCGAGTGGGAAAGCAGACGAGTGGAGGGAATTCTCACTGGCAGAGAATGTAAACAAGGAAAAACACAGGGAGCAGACAAAATATTTAGTTTAATTTAGTTTTTTTATAAACTATATCAGAAATTTATTTTAATCTCTTTTATTCCCAAACATGATATTATGTTATTATCATTATTACGCAGCAACTGTTTTAAAAGAATTATTAAAAAAACTGTACTGTCACTGTATGTTTCTATTAAATCAACAGACGTGTCATTACGACGTTATTCTGATGCTACAAGATCTAGAAGAATTGGATTTCACATGACAGTCATTAGCAACCGTAAGCTAACATTGCTTAGCATGTAGCTAGCTAGGATAACCACAAAACCAGTTTTCATTTCATTTCACTAAGGAAAAAAAAAACAACAGTTTTTACTTTTTACAAATAAAGTTTTAGTAGTTTCCCAGTTGTTGCTGCTATGATCCAGTTCAACCTCTTAGACGACATAGCTAACTACAGTTCTTTATGAACATTTTTACCTTCACATTCAGTAGACTTAGTTCATGAATCGATTGTTATTTTGTCCACTCACTGCAGATAAACAGAACAGTTAACAGATGGAGTATTGTGGTGGAGGGGCAGGGGTGGGGGGTGGGGCAGGGGTAGTCACCTCTGTTGTAGTTTTGACCATGGTCCATGACAGACACTGTCAGGTGGGGGAAAAAAATAAAAACAAATACCTTTAGCATAGAGTTTTTAAATATATAAACTGATTTTGAAAAGAGAAATGTGGAAACTAGAAATAAAATAATCCATAAATCAAAACTGTATTGATTATTGAAAACTAAAAAAGTATTTTTGTTAGTGTTGCTAACCTGAAACCAATGGCTTTACTAACGCTAAACAACAATAGGATAGTAAAAAAAAACTAGTTTTAATCAAAACTTTGAATCTTCCAGGTGGTCGTTTACATTAACTGACCCTGGTTAGCCTGTTGTTCTGTTAGCATTATTTCTCACCTCTTTTTAAGGAAGGATGGGTGAAGTTGCTAATGTGCAAATGTTAAAGTCTGAAAGCTATGGATGGACTTTGACAAACTTTAAGAGTTAAGTAAAAAAAATATTTTTGCGATCTCAGTGAGACAATGCGTTGGATTAAAAACTTGAAGTATGTTTTTACTTAAACACTTGTGTCTATTAGCACTTTATTAAACAACACAGGCTAACTTGTATAGCTAACTCCAAGAAGCTAAGATGCTAACTCTCTGTTTAGGTGGACACACACTTTCCAGAAGCACAGACAAGACTGAGGTAAGAGTGGAAGTGTGGGGGAGGAGAGACACAGAGGGGGTGAGACGTGGTACCTTCACTCTCGATTGTGTCGACTGCATCATTCACCAGTCGAATGACAGTCACTATGGAGGCTTGTGGAAGGAAGAAAGGAGGAGATAAGTTTGGAAATACAGTCATTCATGGTCGAAAAACTGATCATTACCGTATCGTCAGGGTGCTATGCTAACATTAGCATTAGCTAGGGCCGGGAGAGAGAGAGTCTGAGTCCCGCCCTCTTCCTCTGATACAGTCAAGACTGTTTTAATGTTTGGGGGCAATTTTTTCCAACTCTGCTCTTAATACATGTAACGATAGAAGCAACTTAGAAAATACAAATGAAAACAAACAATATAGCAAAACAGCCAGTGTTGCCGTGTGTTCTGTCATTCAGGTGCAGGCAATTTGATTTGATTTAATTTTTTTTTTTTTTTTTACCAAATGGCATCAGTCAGATTTGAGCAAGCACAGGAATGACAACGGTGAAAGCAAAACTCATTTTAACGACGGCCATTTTGAAGGTACGACAATGAAACTTGTGGACTGCAAAAACAAAACAAACAAAAACAAAACAAAAGCAGCACAATGCTATGATGAAAATACAAGACACAACAAAATACACAACTTCAGCACAAAAGCCATGACCGCCAACACCGCGCTCTGAAGCTGGTGTGTAGTTTTTAGCTTCTTTGAGATGCTACGCTAATGTGAAATCGACACGTGGACCAATGGGAATTGTGACAAAAAACGTTTGCCGGTACGATAACAACCAGACTGTGGAGCGTGACAAATATTGACAGGAACAACTGTGAGTGTTTGAATTCTGATTATTGCTCAACAGGCAACAAACCAAATTAAGTTTCATTTTGTTTCCAATAAAAACAGCTTTTTGATTGGCTGAAAAGCAGTTAGTGAGCATTGGACCAAACCTAATCCCATTTCCTTCTTTGTTTTTTTATTTAGTTTAATTTATATATTTAGATTATTTTACTTTATTACCACATAGTTGTACAATTTTGTTCTATGTTCTCCAAAATGGTTGCCGGCTCCACTTTTTGTCACAACTGTACAACAGGCTCAGTGTGAGCCTTCACACTGATGGACTTTGTACAGAATCCTATGAGCACAACAGCAATATATACATGACATCAACACCAATAACCAACCACTTTTTCACAACACACACACATACACACAACGTGACACTGTGAGGTTCCTAAATCTGCCCTGATCTACAGCACGTGTCTTACCGTTGTCATCGCAGGAGTCAGACTGGAAGGAGTTCAGTGATTGGACCTCAGAGTTGCTGCCTTTGTTGCTCCCGGAGAAGCAGGTGACCTCCTCTCCCATGTCCACCATCTTACCTGTGGGACGGAGACGGGAGCAACGTCAGAATAAAGACACGACAGTTAGCAACTCCTGTTACCCCCCCCATGACTTTGTAAATCGTTGTTTAACACAATCAGAACCTTCATTCTACACAAAACAGAGGAATTTAAGCTAAAAAAAAAACCCTTGAAATTAAAAAAAGCCATCAAAACCAGCCAGGTCCCCCAAACGTCTGTCACAAAACATGGTTCTGAAAATGGAGAAATAAATCATTTTCATAAAAACACACACATTTTTGACTCCGACCACAACTGTAAACGTAACTAAAATCCAACTAAATCTTGGACCTCAACGTCTCACCTGGAAAATGTCCCCACAAGATACTATTATGGGTACACACACACACACTCACCTTCATCACTGTCCCACGGACTCTTGTGTATGGAGTCACAGTCAGAGCGACAGGGCGACACCGGTGGCAGGTTGGGGGCCACACTGCACACCACCACCCCCCTCCTGGTGGTGCCTGACAGAATTCTCGGCGACTCCGAGTGGAAGGTGCTCATCTCCGTGTGCTCCACGCTGCGCCCGTCCACCATCTTCTCCAGTGTGGACCGCGGATCTCCCTGGAAACAGGGCGTGTACGCCATGGGCCTGACGGGGACCTGGGGGGGTCCCATCATCCCACCCCCGGTCAGAACAGGCTCAGCGTACAGGTTGAGGGGGTCTCCGGGCGAGCAGTGGAGGGTTTTGAACTGAACGCCGTTGGCTTTGTTGAGCAGCGCCGCCGTGGCCGGGTCTTGGACCAGAGACAGGTTGTTCCGCGAGTAATTTTTTTGGAAAACTTTTTTGCGGAATGCGATGAAGAGGATGATGAGTGTGACGATGACGAAGAGCACCACGGCGATGCCAATCAGCTCCTCCTTACCGACCACGGTGTGGCCGGCCTGCATGTTGGGCACCACCACGGGTCGCAGCCCGCAGCGCTGGCCCACGAAGCCCGCGGTGCAGTTGCAGTAGAAGGAGCCGTGGGTGTTGATGCAGACTCCCCCGTTCTCACACTCTCCCTCTGGATTACTGCGATCACACTCGTTCACGTCTTCCTCACAGCTGCAGGACACAAACATGGAAGACCAGAACGTGGAGAGAGACGTGTTAGCCACAGTGGGGCGCCACCCAAAAATGTAACAGGAATTTGTGGAAAGTGAGTGAGAAGACAGATCAGTATAAGACTTTAGAATCCCACAATCACAACTACAATTAAATGTGCATACTACCCCCTTGTGTCCATTAAAAGGAATTGCAGTTTGTATTCTTTTGAGGGAAATGGTGTAAAAAACAGAGCTAGTGTTTTTTTGGGGTCGCCTGAAATGTCTAGTGATTGATAAATGATAAAAGTATTTATTCAACAAATTAAAAGTTTAAAAAATTATGATAAACAAAAAACAAACAATATTAGAACACTATATTCTGTCATTTTCATAAATATAAAAAAATCAAATTAAGCATATGAAAATATCATGATTGACAGCCAAAAGAAGTGGAAGACGACAAAGGTCACTTTGTCAAGAAAAGTCATATTTAAGAAGAAATGAAAAACCAAATTCAAAGAAGTTAAAAAAAAAAGAAAACATAAGGAGCGGGGACTCACGTTAAGCCCTTGAAACCCCGCCTGCAGCTGCAGAGGAAGGCGTTACCGATGGGTTTACAAATGCCACCGTTGTGACACGGGTTGGGAACGCACGCTGTTATCTCGACCTCACAGCGCCCTCCTGTGAACTGCGGGTAACAGCTGCACGAGAATCCTGCCACACAGAGACGAGAAAGGCTTCATTAAAAATTAACAGCCATTAGTGCAACTGTTTACAACGCTGCTTGGCCACAGCACCAATCACACCGCTGGGAAATCAGCTCCATAATGAAGACAAACACACGCGCCCAGACAAACACCTACAGGGGAATGGGTTGGTTTTTTTTTTTTTTACATGTAATCTGGGTTTTCTACAACGCTGTGTCTGAATGACAACAATGGCCTCTGCAGTTCCCATGATGCTTTGCTCATTACGATGTTAATGTGGAATTAGTGTTGTGTGGTGAGAGCTCAGCAGAGCTGTGTGGAAGCTGTGGACACAGGAAGTAGAGACTCTAAAAATCATCAAGGTTTAGTCAAAAAACAGGACATCAAATATTTTACTGTCACCGTTGTCAGAACTCGGAATTAAACAAGAGAAATTTGACATTTAATTTCATAAAGTGTTTTATTTAATTATTCCTAATAATTTAAACCCAATAAAACAAAACAAAAACCCCACACAATGCTTTACCATATATCAGTGTTTTTAAATATAAAATATAGAAATTAAGTGTTTACTACTCAACTCAGGTTTTACGGTCTCAAAACTTACCACCAGAGGGCAGGCTGGTGCAGGTAGCTCCGTTACGACATGGCTGTTGCAGGCAGGCGTCAGGGTAGAGGACGCAGCCCAGCTTCAGGTCCGTCAGTCCCACCACCTCTGCGTAATGAGTGCGTTTGTTCTGCAGGGGGAGCTCGTTGTTGTTCAGCATGACCGAGTCCAGGCAGCCCTGAAACCCCTCCAGCACCCGGGGGTCCTTCTGGGGATCCATGAGGCTGCGAGAGTTTGCTGGCTGCACCTGAAGTCAGACGACGTCACGTGAATGTCACGCGGAAATATTAGGGACAAATAACAATTAAGGGAATGGACCAGTTCCTGTTGTGGTACAGTACGGTACAGATTAAAAACTGCGACTCTAAAAAACAACCGTGCAACTGTGTATTTTTGGAGCCTGGACCTGGAAGACGTTGTAAGACATTGGAAAAAAGTGGTTTTTCAACCTTGAGGTCACGACCCCATGTGGGGCCTCATGGAATTCAAATGGGGTCACCTGAAATATCGAGTGATTGATAAAAAAAATTACAGATAAAAATATTTATTCAATTAATTATTTTAAAATTATTAAAAAAATTTCTATGTATGTATTTGTATTTCTAATTATTTTATTTTTATTATAATGAAAAAAAAATCTTAAGCCATGGTTTTCTTTCAGGGTCGGGGACCAGGGTTTTGGTACGTTTTACTCTTCAGAGTCTCATCATAGAGGACTGTACATTTGTGGACATGTGGACTGACCAGCGCTCCGAAGAAGATGGTTCTGTCCGGAGCGAGTGGCTGCATGAACGGCGGTCCGCGCCGCTGCTCCACGTAGCTGTCGTCCAGCGCCAGGCTGCTGAAGTTCCGATTGAGCTCCAGTGCCACGGTGTGCCAGCTGCCGTCACTGATCCGACGGCCAGAGATGCCCAGCATGTTGGGGCTGTCGCCCACTCCACTGCCAAGGCCACAGGCCAGCTGGAGCCACAGCTTCCCGTCCTCCAACTGAACACACACACACACACACAGACACATAAACCAGGGGTGTCAAACATATGGTCCGCCGTCCAAAACTGGCCCACTGGTGGGTTCAATCTGGCCTGCTAAATGAATTTTGAAAGTAAAAAATAAATCCACAAACACTTCATGTTTATGATGTGTTTGTCAAATTATTTCATTAAATATGAGGATTTTCTAATAAACGTTTACTTATTTATAGGTAATTGTGTCATAAAGACACTGGTCCGTCCATCTTGACATCTAATCTAAATGTCATGTAGCAGAGTGAACTGGTCCGTCCATCTTGATGAGGCCCCTGTCATGTAGCAGAGTGGACTATGGAAGTGTGTGTGTGTGTGTACCTTGAGCACAGTGCAGGGCTCGGTGTGTGTGTACATGATGATTCCTCGGCTCTGCAGCGTTCTGATCCTCAGGCTGAGCTTCAGTTCAGTCTGCAGTCGATCGGAGAGTCTGTACTTGATGTAGCTGTTCCCGGAGAAGCTCAGCGACGAGTGGCCTGAAGAAGAAGAAGAAGAAGAAGAAGAAGAAGAAGTGTGTGTGGATTAGACGTTAAATACTGAAAATAAATCCCATTTTCTCTCCGACTTATTTACACACCTGCACACTCCCCGAGTTTGCCTGGTGGACACTGGCAAGCGTAACGCCCTCTAGTGGCCTCTACGGAAACACACTGCATGTCTGCGGGACAGGACTGGTCTTCACACTGTTCTGTAAGTACAGCACAGGAGGCGTCTGCTCCACACACACACACACACACACATAGTGTGAGAAAACACATAATACGTCACAAAGGAATCCTGACAGTAGGTGTCGCTCTCGGCCCATCGCCATCCCCTCAGTCTCTCACCGTTACACGTGCATCTCGACGTGCGCTGGAAGCGCGGCGAGACGAAGCTGACACGTGGCGTGCTGTACGTGGCCAGGTTGTGCGAGTCCAGGACGATGGTCTGCTCACACTGGGCGCCGCGACACTCCAGGCCGGAGCAGTTCTTATCAAGGATCGCCGAAACTCTCAGAACCTCCTCCAGCTGCCGACGCGACGCACTCAGTTTCTGGGTCAGGTAGGCTGCCTTGTAGTAGCCTCCTCCCACCGTTTCCACGGCAACCAGTAGGTCCAGCTGCTGCGTCCCCCCCACTGGCTGCAGGCTGAGCAGGTGCAGCGTGTCCTGGCCCTGAGACGTGGCCGCGTGTTGCAGCACCTTCAGCACGCTCTTCAGGTGCGACGCCACGAAGTCTTGTGGCGACACGCTTTCGAATCGCACCGTCACCGCCTCTCGCAGCATCTCCGGCGTGGCCTGCTCCACGTGCACGCTCACGGGCACAGGCACGGCAAAGCGGCCGTCGCTAACGCTGGCGTTTAGGGAGTACCTGCCGGCGTCCAACCCACCCAGGGCGATGATCTTCCCGTCGCGGGGGCTGATCTTGAAGAGGCTGCGGTGGGCAGGCGGAGCGTGGCCGAAGGTCAGCGCGTCGTAGGGGTCGGCGTCGGTGGCGTGCAGCTGGCCAATCACACCGCCGGGAAACTCGTCCTCCATGGTGATTATGTGAACCTCCAGAGGCAGCGCCACGGGGCGGTGGAGGCTCTCCTCGATCACCCGGACCGTCAGCGTGGAGCTGGACGACAGTCTGGGTTTCCCAGAGTCCGTCACCTGAGGAGATGAAGACGAGACCAGGGAAGAAGACACAGATAAATGATGGTGCGGCGTCAGCACCTTTGATTGGATCACACATCATTATGGTGCTAATAATAACTGTCAGAAGAAGAAGATCCATCCATCCATCCATCCATCCATTTTCATCCGCTTATCCGTTACCGGGTCGCGGGGGTCACACCAAAGACAGAGACATTACCTCTGGGCCAAAGCGCCACAAAAGAAGAAGATGATGAAAAAAAAAAAAAAAACAGAAAAAAAGTACAAAAAACAAATTAACAGTCTGACCCAGTGGTTGGTAAATTTTATTTACCAACTCTGAATTGAAATACTATTGAGAACCTGATAATATGTATATTTTTATCTGCTGCCACCTAGTGACTGGAGGCTTTTTGTTCAACCATTACAGCAGCGGTACACTTCTGTCCAACATGTTATTTCCAATGGAAGCCTCTCACACACACCCTGACCGCGCCTCCCCAGAGGGGTCCGCCCCACTAGTCATTACAGCAGCGGTACCGCCCCACTAGTTGGGAAGTACCTGCCTAGCCCCTGAAAGCTAACTTAGACTCAGCTCCACATTAGCTCCAATAAAGTATAAACTGTCAGCAGCAGATCCTGGTCTCCACCTGTATCTGGAGGACGTATTCCGTCACCAGGTTTCTCTTGAACACCCGGTTGGCCACCAGGGTCCCGTCATTCTCCAGCACAAACTCTCCGCCCTCGTTCCCCGACAGGATGTGGAAGTCGAAAGGAGGGCCGTTGTGGGAGGAGTCCAGGTCGACGACAGACAGCTGCAGGATGGTGGTACCGACCGGTTTGTTTTCCTGAGGGAGGAGACGAAGTACTTGTAAAATATCTGCTCTAATCCTCAACAGTTCACTCACTCGTCTGCTCTTTTTCTAACCAAGGGTGAGGTTTACCTGGATGACGGTGGTGAGGTTGGCAGGGGAGAAGGTGGGAGGGTTGTCATTGATGTCAGATATGTCTATGTTGACCATCACAGTGGAGGACAAGGGCGGAGCTCCACTGTCCAGAGCTCTGATGGATAAGGAGTAGCTGGGAACCTGGAGCAACGGACCAGGAGAGAAAAACAAAAAAATTAAAAAAACAAAACAAAGATGGCCGCCTTCACGAGAGAAACACACCGTGTTTACATCTGATAGATATGAGGGTAAGTTAAAAAGTTAAAAATAAAACAGCGTAGAAGATAAGATACATGTGGCAGGTAGATTTAGATGCATAATCAATCAATAATCAATGATAAATCAATCATCATTTTTTACATGTCAAAATTTTTTTTTCAGTTTGTCTCAGGTTTGTCTTTATTTCATATGCCCTTCATCTTGTGTTGTCATAACTCTGTTCACCTATAGATGGCAGCAGAGATCAGCGAATGGCAGAGAGGCAGCGTTTCCCTGTGATTGGTCCTGTGCACAAACAGGTTGATGGATTTGTTTATCAACTATAAATCATTACTCACTGACTGAGTAAAAAGGTCAGGATTTAATTCAAACTCAACTTCCGGAATCCAACTTCCTGTTTCATTGGTTTATTCCTCTCTGGTGTAATTAGCTCCAGTTCATCGGCTCAGTTAATCTAATTTTCTTTTTGTTTGTTTCTGTTTGTTTCAGACAGGTTAATGACTAATCACAGCCGAGTCAGGACTCAAATGGGACAAAGTCCTACTTTTGCTTCAGTTCACAGACACTGTTAGAGTCTGCTTTAGTTCTGGCTGGAGTTCTAAGAACGAACATAAGTCATGACGACAGCAGCCTGACCAGGTCCTGGATCATTTGTAAAATCGGTGACGTCTGGTACCAGAAATGGTTCCTGAAAATCCTCCTCTTCAAAAGTACGAAAAAGATAAACCCCAAGAATTATATCGTAAAGTTAAGTTCGGCTGCGGAAGACGCGCACATTCATCTTCTCCTGCTGAGGAGGAGGTTGGAGCCAAACCCAGGCATTCGTCGTTGGGAACTGAAACCATTCACACCTGGTAATATATGCATGATTTTCTAGATGAAAACCCACCACCAATCACCACAGGGGATCGAACCACCATCTTCTTGCTGTAAGGCGAAAGCACTAACCACTTTCCCCCCCTTTGTCATCCTTTATCCAATTGGCTGCTTAACACTGAAAATAGTGTTGGTTCCATAATGTGGTGGTTAGCATGCTTGCCTTACAAGCAGAAAGTCCTGGGTTTGATTCCCAGAGAAACCACATATCCCTAACAGCGCCTCCTGTGGCAGCCTGTGTCGGTGTCAACCTACATGACGTCAAATCTCTTCATCCTGTTGTATTTTATAATAAAACTGTATATATTAAGACTAGAAAGTTGGGGCAACTCTGACTTATTCCACGTCAAATTTTTAGCGCCATCTTCTGAGACAGAAGATAGTTAGCAAATTTTATTTTGGTAGAAATGTAGCACTAAGAAAAAAAAAGTTGTACACACTGGTTATTTTGTGCTTTTGTTCTAAAAGGATTTTTAAAAAAATATCAACGTCTGAGAAACCAAATAAATCCAGTTAACGTCCGCAGAACAAATTGCGACCAATTTCACTGCGGTTACACAAGCTAACGTGAGCTTCGTGAAGGTAACATCAGGTCATGGGTTTATGGTATTTTGGAAACTGAACAAAACAAATGAATTTTTTTTGCCAGAGTCAGGAAGGCGACAGTGACCTGGGACTGAATCTTTGCGTCTCTTCCTCGGACAGTTAGCTTCAAAAATTCATGGGCTCTGATATCGAATTCTCTCCAGGAATTAGATTTTTAATAGGCAAATAATTTGAAGAAGAAGAAACAAAATTGCCAATTCATGCAACTTTAATTTTAGAACAGAGTGTAACAATTATCTCCCCTGTGGTCACGGAGCGGTCGGCTGCAGAGGTCAGACTTTCCCTCGTGTGTTTTTTTTTTCTTTATATCAGAGCTGGTGTTTTAGCTCAGACACGTATTGAACCACACTGGCTGCTGCTGCTGCTGCTGCTGCTGCTACTGCTGCTGCTACTGCTGCTGTTACTGCTGCTGTTACTGTTGCTGCTGCTGCTGTTACTGCTGCTGCTACTGCTGCTGTTACTGCTGCTGCTGCTGCTGCTTCTGCTGCTGTTGCTGCTGCTGCTGCTGTTGTTGCTGCTGCTGCTGTTGCTGCTGCTGTTACTGCTGCTGTTACTGTTGCTGCTGCTGCTGTTACTGCTGCTGCTACTGCTGCTGTTACTGCTGCTGTTACTGTTGCTGCTGCTGCTGTTACTGCTGCTGCTGCTACTGCTGCTGCTGCTGCTGCTGCTGCTGCTACTGCTGCTGCTACTGCTGCTGTTACTGCTGCTGTTACTGTTGCTGCTGCTGCTGTTACTGCTGCTGCTACTGCTGCTGTTACTGCTGCTGTTACTGCTGCTGCTGCTGTTGCTGCTGCTGTTGCTGCTGCTGCTGCTGCTGCTGTTGCTGCTGCTGTTGCTGCTGCTGCTGTTACTGCTGCTGTTGCTGCTGCTGTTACTGCTGCTGCTGCTGCTGCTGCTGCGGTTGCAGTGAGAGTTCAAAGCACTCGCTCCGCCTTTAAGAGCAGAGGAGTGGAGAGATTCAAAGGAAGCTGCAGTCACTTCCAGCTGTGTGTGTGTCGGCCGCGCTGCCGCGTCTGAATCGACGGGAAACACAGATCACCTCTTAATTGAATGAAAACAATCGTCAACGATGATAATCAAGTACAGCTTTGTCACCGGGTGGCGCTCTGAGAGGCTGATTAAACTATCTGTGATGGTTGATTGATTTTGCTCCTTTGATCCTAAATTGAGTCTGAGAGGATACACACACACACACACACACACACACACACACTTGCTGGATCGATGAGCTGATATTACACAGAGGGGAAAACAGGACTTATTTTGTTTGTTTTCTAAAGGACAGACAAACAAACACACAAACACACACACACAAACAGTGACAAGCAGTAACACACAGCGTGATGCCTTCACTGACACGCTCGAGCGAAATCAGCTGCAGGATATTTTTCTGTTTTTCTACACTGCTTCATAATAAGAAGCTAATGAAGCAGAGTGTTGTAGCAGCAGCAGCAACAGCAGCAGCAGCAGTAACAGCAGCAGCAGCAGCAGCAGCAACAGCAACAGCAGCAGCAGCAACAGCAGCAACAACAGCAGCAGCAGCAGCAGCAACAGCAGCAACAACAGCAGCAGCAGCAGTAACAGCAGCAGCAGCAGCAACAGCAACAGCAGGAGTGTTGTAGCAACAGCAACAGCAGCAGCAACAGCAGCAACAGCAGCAACAGCAGCAGCAACAGCAGCAACAGCAGCAACAGCAGCAGCAACAGCAGCAACAGCAGCAACAGCAGCAGCAGCAACAGCAGGAGTGTTGCAGCAGCAGCAACAGCAGCAGCAGCAGCAGCAGCAGCAGCAACAGCAACAGCAGGAGTGTTGTAGCAACAGCAACAGCAGCAGCAACAGCAGCAACAGTAACAGCAGCAGCAGCAGCAGCAACAGCAGCAACAACAGCAGCAGCAGCAGCAGCAGCAACAGCAGCAGCAACAATGGAATATTGTTTCAGCTGAGATGTTTGAATGTTTGAAAAAAAAAAGAAGCATAAACATCTCTGACCTGCTTGAGTGAGAGAGAGAGAGAGAAAGAACGAGGTTTAAAAGAATGCAAAGACACGAGTCGATAAAACACACACGTGTGTGTAGGCACGGGGAGAGAGCACTGTAACCCTGTGTGTGTGTGTGTGTGTGATAACTCCAAACACACTTTCATCAGTGAGAAGCTTTGATCCCCCACACGCCCCTGCACTCTCTTTCTGAGCACGCTCAGACGGCTCATCGACTGCACTCATGAATACTTTATGATTGGAATATGAACACTTCTGTTTTCAAGCAGAATGAAATGAGGAAGCAGACGAAGGAGGGAGGGGGGTCCTGCTGGAACACAAATTGCTTCGTGGACGTGTTTCCTGATCAAGTGTGATTGATGACCATAAAGTAGGAGATCAGTGAGTGAGTTCACCATGAAGTACACGCCTGTGTGTGTGTCAGTGTGTGTCAGTGTGTGTCAGTGTGTTGCCTTACCTTCTCACGGTCCAACTGTTTGTTGACCTTAATGACCCCACTCAGAGGGTCAATGAAGAACTGGTTGTCTCGATCTCCGCTGACGATGGAGTAGAGGATGTCTCCATTGACTTGACTGTCCACGTCTTCTGCCACCAGCTACGGAGACAGTGTGCGATTAATACGTATAAACATATAAAAATTGATAAAAAAAAAATGTTGACAATTTGCATCAGTTTAAATAAAATCTGAATCGTGCATCGAGGTGTAAGGAGTTGGCTAAGTTACCTAAAAAGTCACTGGTCATATCGTGACAGTACACACTTTAGTACAGCAGGTGGCAGTATTCGCCTAAAAATGTTTGTTGTAACTCACTAATAAACCAAGGTTTATTAAAGACATCAGGTCTCTATATAATAATAATAATTAGGGATGTCGAATAATATCAGCCGACCGATATTATCGGCCCGATATTAGCATATTATGTAATGTCTGAAGAAGAATCGTTATGGTTTTTTTCTCCCATAATAAAAACCTGATAATGTAATGCCTGGGTTTGGCCAAATGATGTGTGCTCTAAAAATAGTTTTGGGGATAAATGGCTGTACATTAAAGTGAAAGTCAGTAGATGGCAGCATTGCAGCTAATTTAATTAATTGCATACTTATACAGTGGTTTGTACAGATCGGTTCATATCAGAATCGGAAATTACTGGTTCATATCAGAATCGAAATTAAGTGTTTGGACAATATCGGCTAAAAGTTAATCACTATTATTATTATTATTCATAATAATAATAATAATGCTATTATTCATATTAATAATATTATTATTTTTGATAATAATAATAACATTTTTGAATGGAAGCTCCGTCCATTATACTGATCCAGTCCCCAGTCAATGTTTCAACGTCTTCCCTTTTTGTATCATTCAGCGTCACAGGTGTTGGAGGAACAGTCGGTAGCGAAGACAATATGGAGTTTGATATCATTAAACAGACAGTGTTTTGCCATTGAGCCTCATTTGTGTTTCAGTGCTGCTCCTAACCAACTGTGGTTGTGTATAATAAATCATATGTGCAGTTGTTGACTGTTGTTATGAATAGAACACTCCCTCGTCATATTCACCACCTGCTCACTTCACGTCTTCACAAGGAGCTCTACATGCATTTCAATGTCCTAAATACCAGTCAGTCTTTGCTAATTTAATGTAGCAGCTAACAAGTGCTAACAAGACAAGCCACCTGCTGGTGGTGCCAGAGAGTATTCAGTACCTGGACAACGGAGTCCCCGATGGTGGCGTCTTCAGACACCACGGCAGCGTAGAGGTCACGGCTGAACACGGGCGCGTTGTCGTTGACGTCCGTCAGGTTTATATTCACCGTAGTAATGGCGCTCAAGGGCGGCGTGCCACCGTCACGGGCCTCCACTGTCAGGAAGTAGTCTTTACAGGTCTCATAGTCCAGAGGCAGGGCCACCAAAATGACTCCTGGGAAACGAGGGGAGGAGGAGGAGGAGGATGAAGAGGAGGAGGAAAACAAAAAAACAATGTCACTGGGTCAAAACATGTCACTGGGTTTGTTTATCGCTATGAACAGAACAAATATATTTATTTTCACAGCCTCACACTTCTCTCTGGGCTGATTTTGGCCCACGGGCCATATGTTTGGCACCCTGATAAATAGACGCTGTGCTTCAGTGGCCGAAACCCGGCTCATACTTCAGTCATTTCCAGATTGAGTCTCTCGTCCTCATTAACCTACCAGTGTTGAGGCTGCTTTAATTACCAGGAACTAATGAGCAGTGACTTTGAAGGGACACAAATCACATCCTGCATGAACAATCTGTTGTCACTGGTTTTAATTTCCTCGCAGCACAGATAACCAATTAATGAAGTAAAGCATCGGGGTGATTTGGAAAATAGTTTTAGTGTAACTCTGTGAGGTGTTTCCTTTGGTGGAACTTTCTGAAAAGAAAGATTAATGTCTCTCCGACCGTGGAGAGTTTTTCTTCCTCCAACTAAAGTTAAACTTTGGTGAGATTACTGCAGCAAATTTGGAGATTAGATTCTGATTTATGCCGTCGACAGAGTTCATGTATCAGTTGTGGTGAGTCGGTCACAGAAGTTTACAGAAATTCAACCCTCTTTCTGTTTCAATTTCATTTCCGTTGCCAGTTCTGAGTGCAAATCTTTTCTCTCTCATTTCAGCTCTCTGAGAACTTCAAAGATGTCTGTGGGCGTTGACCTTAACGGTCACTTATCTGAATGAAAGCGATTGATGTTAAAACAAAGAAATCCTCCCTCACCCGTCAGTGGGTGGATGTAGAACTTCCCATGTTCGTTGCCTGATCGGATGCTGTAAGTGATCTCAGCGTTGGTTCCGATGTCTTTGCTCGCAGCGTACACCCTCAGAACCTCCGTGCCCATGCTCACGTCCTCGGGCACGGTAGCCAACTGGTCACGGCGTTCAAACACGGGCGGGTTGTCGTTGATGTCCAGCACCGTGATGGTGACGTTAACCAAGGAGGAGAGCGGCGACGGCGACCCTTGGTCTGAAGCACGCACCGTCACCTGATACGCCGGCTGCACCTCCCGATCCAGGACGCTTTCCAGGACCATGATGCCTGAGGATTTATCGATGGAGAAGGTTCCTCCTGCGGAGTCGGCCATGGAGTAGACCACCACCCGGCCTGGACCTGCTGCAGAGACACGAACACAGCGTCAGGCTCACAGCAGTCGCAGCTGCTTCTCTAATGAGTGCTGCACAGAGTCGAGTCACAGTCTGCAGATCGACCGGGGTCAGGTGATGTGGACCGAGCTGGTGTGTCAACGTGAACAACATCAGGTGAAGAATAAACATCTGAAACTCTGGTTTACCATAAAAAAAAGTATCATCTGGAGATAAAACAAAAATGTAAAGAAATTAATTAATTTTAAATTAATTTTTGATTCTGTCGTCATTGATTTAACTGTTATTTTGTAACCCTGGACTGGGCAGTAACTCTGGATTTTTGATTCTGTCGTCATTGATTGAACTGTTATTTTGTAACACTGGACTGGGCAGTAACCCTAGACTGGGCAGTAACTCTGGACTGGGCGTCACCTTCATCAGGGTGCAGCAACTCTGGACTGGGCAGTAACCCTGGACTGGGCGTCACCTTCATCAGGGTCGATGGCCTGGATGCGAGTGAGCAGCGCTTTAATGGCGGTGTCTTCGTAAACGCTGGCGGTGTACTGTGACAGGGTGAAGATCGGGGGGTTGTCGTTGACGTCAGTGACGATCAGCTGCACCTCAGCGCGACACCACCGCCCACCGCCATCGGTCGCTTGAGCCACCAGCTGGTAACGAGGTGTCGTTTCACGGTCCAGACTCACGGACGACTTGATCACACCTGGTCAGGAAGAAATTAAAATATTTTTTTAAATTTAAATCCTGACTAATGGCTGCCCTCTACAGGCCGTCTGTCTGACATTTTCATTTTAACGTTGTCAAATCTGCCACTTGTTTCCATAAAAAGGAATTTTATTTAATTAGGAAAATGTTTGTTTTTTTATTTTGGTCAAGTTTACTGGTAAATTCCTACCAGTATCTGAATCCAGGCTGAAGTGCTGGGAACCAGGACCATGTAAGGAATACTGAATCCAGGCACTGAGTCCCATATCTGCGTCTGTGGCTCCAACCCTCAGCACAACGCTGTTCACTGGGAGGTCCTCTGGAACAGACGCAGTGTACACAGCCTACACACACACACACACACACACACATGGATACACACGTTAAAACTGAAGGGCTTCCCACTGGTTGGATTATGGTGTTAGCATTAGCCACTCTGTTTAAAACTGCTGGTTGAATTATGGTGTTAGCATTAGCCACTCTGTAGCACACCTGGTCGCAGACGGGGCTGTTGTCGTTGGCGTCCATCACTGTTATTTCTACTGTTGCCTGGGAAACGAAAAGTCCATCGCTGGCAGTGACGTTGATGATGTAAAGGTTTCGTTCCTCCCGGTCCAACAGACCCTTCACGTACATCTTCCACTCGCCCTGAACCAGGCCCAGCGCGAACACGCCGCGATAGTTCCCTCCTTCACAGAGAAAAAAAAGATTTGAAGGTGAGAATAGTGTGAAGATGTATATTTGTATATTTACATCTTCAGATGTATATTTATAAAAATAATCATCATAGTTTGCTAACCCTAACCCTAAACCTGGAGTTCTGGTTGTTCTGTTTGGTACCAGACCCGTCTTTGGAACGACCTGATGAGGTCATTCGTGACTGAGCCATTTCAGTTTCAGTCGTCGTCTCTCGACTTCGACTTCGACCTCTATCTCAGTCTGTTAGCCTCACCGAGGATGGACACTCATGTGGGACGTGGGTCATTTCCCAGAGCTCATCACCACAGGTGAACCCTGGTGTTGACCCTTACACTTGGAGGGAAACGGAGCGGTGAATGTCAGGGGTCATTGTCTCGTGACCCAGGAAGACTTCACTACCGAGGAAGACTGAAAATGAAGATTTCACTACCGAGAAAGACTGAAAATGAGACATAGTCTCACTGGACTGTTTAGTACAGTGGCAAAAGAAAAAAGAAAAAAAAAGAATTCTGAGCATAACGCTAACTGACACCAAATGTCACCGTGTTTGATTGAACAACAAACAGATAATTACAAAGTTAACTAAAATACATTTATACAAAGGGAATTTGAATAAAATATTCTTTACTTTGAGTGAGTGTCTGTGACTGTGACTGCATCTGTGTCTGGCTGAATCTGTCTGTCAATCAAAAACTACAGTTGTCTACACTCCATCCATCTCCAACACCACTGTCAGTGGCATAACGATGTGATGTGACACATCAATCACTACATGGACACATTTCCATTTGATTTATTCCTGAAGTGAGTTGCAAACGAATATTAATTAACTGTACAGTTACAAACCAGGGAGGAGATGTGGAGATGGATTTAAATGGATTTGAGAGTTGCCGGTTCGAGTCCTGGCCCTTGCAAGGTGTTGAGCAATCACCAAAAATCTGTCACACTAGTTGGTGATCACTGTGTGGCCTCTGGGGGGCAGGCTTTCATCCTAAACCAAGTCCTTCATTAGCGCCACAGCTTCCTTTTTATTTCACTTGTTACTTTTATTCATTATTTTCGCTACTTTGTTGTTCTCTAAAGAACTGTACGTGTGAGAAAAGGCTATTAGCATTTTGCTAATTTAGATCAAAAGCAGGTGTTTAATCCTTTTTACCCATTTAATTTAACACATATTTGACTTTTTTGAAAATAGTATTTAATGTTAATTCAAGCTGTAGTAACAGGTACAGATGAATATTTATGGATTTTAGGGAGAAAAAAATAAATCTTTCCGTGTGCAGAAATACTGAATGACACAATATTTTTACCTTAGCATCAAACTATCATCATCTACACCACATCTTCCAGGGTAGGATTCAGAGCCTCGGTCATTTACACCTACGTTCTAACCTGGTTAGATCGATACATTCACACTGGTACTCACCAGTGATGTGGTAGCTGACTTGTCGATTCACAGCCGAGCTGTCGTCATCTCTGGTGTTCAGCACGGCCACCACTTCACCCGGAGGATCACTCTCCTGGACTGAGCCAAAGTAGTGCTGCTCCACGAACCTGGGCGGGTTGTCGTTGACGTCCGACACCACCACTGTGACCGTGGTGGTGCTGGACAGAGACAGAGTTTCCCCCAGATCTGACGCTACAACTGTGAACGTGTAGGAAGGATGAGTTTCATGGTCCAGATCCTTCCGTGTGGAGATCCAGCCCGTGTTACTGTCAATACTGAAGGTCCGACCGAGTGTTTCTGCGTCGCCAGCTGACTGAGTCAATGCCCCGAGACTGTACGTCACCTGGCCGTTGGCCCCGGCGTCTGGGTCTACAGCTTGGACTTGGATGATTCTTGTTCCGATCGACATTCCCTCCATAATCGTGGCCTCGTAAGAGTTGGTCTCAAAGGCTGGTTTGTTGTCATTTAGATCCAAGACTCTGACTTCGACATCCACGGTGCTTACGGAATCCAGCTTAGCCTGCTGTAGTGTGGCAGTGACTTTAAAATGAAACCCTTTGACGACTTCATAGTCCAAGGGCTTATCGAGCTTAATGACACCTGTGCTCTTGTCCACCACCAACACACCGTCCTGGTTGTTTTCTTTAGTCTCTCCGTTCACCAGTGCAAAGGTAGCAGAGAGAGGCTCATGTCCTGGAGGCGTGTTGAGGCGCACCGTCCCTATCGCCGATCCTATGGGGAGGTCCTCTGGTACGCTAAACAAATACTGATGTTGACTGAAGTGAGGAATGGAGGACTCCGGGGAGAGGACGTGGATGTAGACAGACACCAGAGAGTGTCGGACTGGATTTCCTCCATCCACGGCTTTGACAAAAAAAGACAAGACGGAATTCCTCAAGTGACTGAAGCTGCCTTTCGTCACCATCCAGCCATTGTCTGGGTCTATTTCTAAAATGTCCACCACCGGGACGTGGGCCTCGCTGTAAAGTGAGTACTTAACTTTAGCATTTGTGCCGTCGTCAGGGTCCTGAGCCTGAATTTGTGTCACCAAAAATCCTTTAGCCACGTCCGACTTGACAGAAGCCCTGTACTCTGTGGCGTGGAAGCGTGGTACGTTATCGTTATCGTCCAACAAAGTAATGTGGACGGTGCAGTAAGAGGCACGTCCACCTGAGTCCCGGGCGCCTACTGTGAGGACAATGTCCTTGTTAGCCGGGTCTTCGCGGTCGAGCTTCTCCAAGGTGCTGATCTGACCAATGGAGTCGATGCTGAACTGATCTTTTCCAACGTCGTTGACAAAAGAATAAGTGATGTGACCGTACGTCCCAGGGTCTGCATCTGTTGCTTTAACCTGCAAAAGAAAAAAAAAAGTTCACCCAAAAGTATAGCATTTCATATAATTCTATACGCTGTGTAGCTACAGGTGAAGCCCTTTATATTGTTTAGGTTCTCACCTGTAGAACTTTGGTTCCTACAGCTGCGTTCTCTCTTAGCTCCGCCTCGTACATGTTCTGCCCAAACACTGGACTGTACAGGTTGGCTTCCAGCACTTTGACATGGACCTGGGCGGTGCTGGTGAACACCCCATCAGACACCGACACGTTGAGGCTGTGGACCGACTCCATCCTCTGCTTTCTGTGACCGGACAGTGTGATGATCCCTGTCTTTTTGTTCATCAGGAAGTTCATCTTCTCATTCCCTGACAGAATGCCGTACTCCAGGTGGTCAAAATCCGAGCTGTCGGCATCCGAGGCCTGGACGCAGGTTACAAAGTGACCTCTAGGGGCTAGCTCGTTCACATATGACTCGTAAAGGAGCTGGTTGAAAACGGGAGGGTTGTCGTTCATGTCATTCACCATGACCTTTACTGACACTTCGCTGCTGAGTGGCGGGAACCCGTTATCAGTGGCCTTGACGATGAAGTCGTACCTCTGAAGGAGTTCGTGGTCCAACATACGTGCCGTGAGAATCAATCCACTGCTGCTGTCTATGTGGAAGTAGTCGGTGCTGTTGTGTGCGTCCGAGAACAACTGGTAGCGAACGATATTGTTCTTCTCTGAATCTCTGTCGGTGGCAATAACTTGGAGCGCCGGAGTCCCGATCATGGCTGTTTCTGACAGAACTACTGTGTAGGACATTTTCTGGAAGACGGGAGGATTATCGTTTACATCCAGGACGATCACTTCAACGTCAACCTCGGCTCGAGCGCTGGTTAAATAGTCCGTGGCTCTGACGGTCAGATGATAAGACGAAGCCGCTTCGTAGTCCAAGGCGTGTATGACACTTATGACGCCGGTGTCAAAACCAACGTCAAACTGAAGAGATGGGTCTCCTTCAACGATGGTGTAGATGATGTTCTGACCTTCTGGACTGCTGGCGTTGATGCTGAGGATAGGCGTGTGCACAGACACATCTTCGTTCACAGCGACAGAGTAAAAGGATTTGTCAAACACGGGCATAGCTTTGTTGACCACAGTGATGGTGAACTCAATGGTGGACGACAGAGGTGGATACCCTCCATCCTTGGCATATATCACCATCTGGTACTCCACGTTGGAGAGGTCCGAGTCAAAAGACCTCTTGAGGGTGAGGTGACCCGTCTGTCGGCTGATTTCAAAATGGCCGTGGTCGTCCATGAGATAGTACGAAACCTCTCCATTGAGACCCTTATCACTGTCTATTGCCATGACCCTGAAAATGGGTGACCCGGGCTCGGCTTCCACTTGAACCGCTGCGTAATACGGAAGTCCCACAAACACCGGGGCGTTATCGTTGATGTCCTCTATTTGAACTCTAACCATAACTCTGGCCACATGAAGGCGATCATGCTCTCTTTTTGCCTCAACAACCAGTTCGTAGAACTCTTGTTCTTCGCGGTCGAATGGAATTCCTGTGGTCTGGATGACTCCGGAGGTCGGGCGAATTCTGAAGCGGGTACCAGCGTTCAACAGGGTGTACTTGAGCGGTTCGTTGAGGCGGTTCCCCACAGCATTGACCACAGCGACCTTCGTGATATTTGACACGTTCTCTTGAATTGATGAAGAGTAAAGGCTCTGGCTGAAGCTGAGGCCGGAGTCCAGAGCTTCTCGGACCAGAATGGTCACCAAAGCCATGCTGGAGAACTTTCCGTCAGAAACTTTGACGTTAAAGCGGAAACGTTCTTTGGACAAATTGTTGTTTTTGACAACGATGACTCCACTGGAAGGTTTAATCGCGAAGTACTCCAGTGCTCCGTCAGTTAGTGTGTAGGTTAGCTCCGAGGGAACATCTTTGTCAGGGTCCACGGCTGAAACCTGCAGAACTTCCACTCCCACATACGTGGGGAGGAGCAGGACTGTTTCATAGGCATTCTGGGTAAAATGAGGTGGCGAGTCATTTGTGTCGATCACTTGTATTGTGACTTCAGTCGGACTCTCTGCTGTCAGCTGAGGCCTGCCGTTATCCCTGACATGAACATGGAAGTGAAACGTGGCAAAAGTCTCGTGGTCCAGGTTGGCGATGGTTCTGATGGATCCGGTTCCTGAGTCTACGGTGAAGAACATTTTTGCTGTATCCTCAACGATCTGGTAAACCAAGAGAGCATTTTGGTTCCGATCAGCGTCAGTAGCCCTGATGACTAGAGGCGAGTCTCCTGAGTCCAGGACTACACTGTTGACCGGCGCCGCCTCGCTGATTCTGCCGAGATAATGAAGCAGCTGAAACACTGGCGGGTTGTCATTTTCATCCACTACCTGGATCACCACGGTGACGTTGGACGACATGCCAGCCATGTTGCTAGCCCTGATGATCAGGGTGTAGGACGACGTAGTCTCAAAGTCTAGAAGGTTCTGAGTAGTAATGACTCCACTGTATTGGTTAATTTGGAAAACACGGTCGGTGTTTCCTTTTTTGATGTCATAGGTGAGCGTGGACTGACTGACCGCCATGACCGTGGTCACAGACGTACCAATCATTGCCTTTTCAGAGATCTCCGCCTGGTACTCGGGCTGGGGGAACTTCGGGCCAGCGTTGTCAGAGAGCGTGACAGCGACGCGCACCACAGTAGTTGTAGAGAGCGGCGGGGCGCCGTTATCAGTGACTCTGACGGTGAGGACGTAATGACCTATGTTTGACAGGTCCAGGTCACGTGCCACCGTGATGAGACCCAAAACTGGCTCGATACTGAAAGCGTTTCCAGTGTTTCCTGAGGAGAGAAAACACAAGATGAATTGCTTCATCTTAAAAGGTACTTTTTTTTCACGAGCTGCGTAAAATTAGGACGACCAAGTATCTCGCTGACACGGGTGTTCACCTGCTTCAATGGAGTAGTGTAGCTCTGCGTTCGCTCCTTTATCCTTGTCAAGGGCAGTTACCTGGACCACAGCTGATCCCACTGCTGCTGACTCATACACTTGGCCCTCATACAGCGCACTTGTAAATATAGGAACATGGTCATTTATATCTTCCACCTCGATTAACACGCGAGCCAGGTTCTTCCTGTAGGGGAACTCTTGGTCCTTCACCTGTGGAGAAATCAAACAAGGAAGAAAAAAATCAGAGATGAAAACAGAGACAAAATTCTCTCTTAAGAAAATGGGTATTCTTATTTTTGAAGATTATTACAATATTATTAATAAATAAATAAAATTAAAATCTGGGTATTTTCCCACAGACTTTTCACCAAAATTTAATTCCTACAGTGGCTTTACGACAACAAAGTTCATCTTACGATGACAGTGAGGATGTGTTGAGCGCACGCCTCATGGTCCAGCCTCTGGACGGTGTAGATGGTGCCCACATTGGGGTCGATGCGGAACAGACGCATGCTGTTGGGGTCTATGGAGCTCTGCAAAGAGTAAGTCAGACGGTGATGCTCGTCACGGTCCGACGCCAACACCTGGACCACCTCGGTATCGGGCGGAGTATCTTCGGAAATGGTCACGTCGTACGTCGATTGGGAGAAGACGGGAGGATTGTCGTTGTTGTCCAAAACAGTGATGTGGACCTAAAATGAGGAAAAAGGAAACAGTAAAATGAGTAAATGTTCTTTGCTGTTATTTGATCAAAACACAAAATGGATTATATTTGTTTGAACCATGAGATGAACGACGTACAGAAACATGTCGAGTCTCAGTCAAACTTTTTTGTGAACCTCATTAAACTCCTGCTCTCCACCTACTGTGAAGTTTGACGGCTGTGCTGGCAGCTCACCAACCCTGACTCAATTTAGGGCCAGGGCTGAAGGCCAAAGACATCAGGATACAAGCTGCTACTACAGTCAGGAGCTTATCACAGGTACATGAGGTCGGGACAGCTGCTGCAGTCTGGCATGTGGCAGAACACGGTCTGCCAGGATGAAGTAAGGGCCCGTTGACAAACTGTGGCAGAGAGGAAGTGTTCAGGAAGAAACTAGATCTCTGGGCCGTGGTGTGGTTTTCCAACTTTTGTGAAATAATTAAGAAAAAAGTTGGCCAAGTGAAAAATAAAGTCACTCTTGTTGTCAGCGTATTGATTTCCTTAACTGATTCCAGGACATTTATTAGCAGCATCACTCTGTAGCAGGTTCATTTTCAGCGCCACAGCACAGGAGGTTTTATGATGTGTTTTATGTTTATGTCCATTGGGATAATGATGGCCCTGAGCGTCTGGACATTCTGGAGGATGAGGTCTGAAAAAGTGCAAAGGGCATCAGTCTTCCTGAGGTTAATGAAAGTGCTGAGGTCAGCGTCTGGAATATTCCTCCTGCTGTTTCAAATACAGATTTTTGTTATTTTTCACGATCAAATAGCAGCAGGTAAAAATCCCACTCCTATCAGTTTTCAAGGGAATCCTGACATGTGATATAAAATATGGCTCCAGTTCCTGGCGTTAGCACCAGAATGTAAATGCAGCTACGTGCAGTCTGCCTAAAGAATGCTAAGAAGTGAGCTGCGTGAGCTTTGTTGGAGCGGGTAGAAACATTTTGGCCTTTAATCTGAATTGGACAGTAACTTTACAACATCGTTCCACCGTGCCGTCAATAAGAGCTTTGGAATCAAAAGCAAATGTGGACAGCGGGGTGAGCGGGAGATGCACATGTTGGTCTGTTTACATGACACCGGATAGCTGCACACATGTGGTCTTGAGTACGGTTCCCGAGGGTCTGGAGGTGTCGGCAGTTCAAAGACGCCTGGCTGAACTTCAGCGAAAAGTTTGAAAAGTTTTTTCTCTATCTGGTCATGACAGTGATTCTTCACAGATCTGGCACCGAGCTGAAATTTCCAAAGAACGCTGAATAATCCTCAGCAGAAGTTCTGAACTCTTGCACTGCACTCATGCATACGTCGTAACGACTGGTGGAGAAACGGAGCTCATTTACTCTGAGTGAAGAAGAAGAAGAAGAAGTCACGCTTTAGTAAACTTTATTGTTGCTTTCCTTGAGCAAACTTTCATTTTCTCCGGCTACATGACGCTAAAATCTCTTTATGCAACTGTTTCAGGAGAGTCGAATCACATTAGTGTGTGTGTTTACGTCCGGTGCAGTAATAAGGCTGGTCACTGGCTGTAACCACTCTGCAATCATGTTAGCAACGGCAGCTAATCACCAGGCACATCAGGAATCGAACCCTCCCGCTGTCAGGTCCTCCAGTGGACCTGGGTGAGATCCAATGAGCTGCCGACACCGCTGCCAAAACATACCTGCTTTACTATGCAAACATCGCAGTAGCAGGAGCGGGACCTCGTGAGGAAAGTGACAAAGTGCCTCACACGCAGACAGAAGAGTCGGCCGGAGGTTTTTTTTCCCTGATTCTTTTCCAAATACACGCAGGGAAATAAAGGGGAACACAGACAGGAGTAGAGCGCTGCCAGGTGGTGCGTCTAAATTTAAACCACACTGCTGCAGCCCAGCCTTCTGTTGTTTAACTGCAGAGACGTTCACTGGCAGCACGGTGCCACGCTGACGCTCCATCTGGAAGCCCACATTTTGCAGGTGTGTTTGTAAAAAAATATATATATACGCGTGAAAAGTCAACAGGAAGGCTAGTGGAAATGCTGAGCTAACGCCGACCGTTTGTGGGCCAAATGATTCGGACTTTTCACAAACGGTTGCAACGACTTTTCGTCTGCGCCAAGTAATGTGTTAATAAGAAAAGTATTTTAGTAGAAACTGACTTTGAACATCACGGCTAACGGCCTCGATAATTTAATTTGGAGGAGATTGAAGTGATAAGAAGTTGAGGGCGGTCCAGTGGAGGTGTTATCGGAGGAAAAATTGATGATGATTCTTACCGTCCAGTTATCAGAGGAAAAATTGATGATGATTCTTACCGATATCACAAAATTTAAGCTAGTATCGGCCGATAATATCGGCTAATCGCTAATATCGACTTTATCGCTTAATCCCTAAATTAAATACATACAGGTTGCAGGACTAAAAAAAAATAAATAAATTTAAGTCAAAGTCATCTC